AGTCAGGAAACAAAGGCCAGCCCTCTGCATACTCAGATGAAGACATTGTGGCATATTGCAGTGATTCTTTCGCTTCATATATACTATGTAGAGAACCTTCAAGAGGATGAAGAAAATGACAAAATGAGAGGTCACGAGGGGTCGCGAGGACCAAAAGACGGGTCAAGGTCAGGAGCACCAAACTGACAAAGAGAGGGGTCGCCGACTCTTGAAGAGGCCAAACCCTAGACAGCCTCTAGAGCTTCTTACCGATGCTTCCAGCCACTGCTCTCTAACACAGAGCTGAGAGAGAGAGAGAGAGAGAGAGAGAGAGAGAGAGAGAGAGAGAGAGAGAGAGAGAGAGAGAGAGAGAGAGAGAGAGGCTTTCATTATAACAATAATTCACAGCGGGTGAACAGGGCTCAGTGACAGAAGGGGGGGGTGAAGAGCGAGAGGGTGCAATGCCCAATCACTCACGGCAGAGTGGTTGACCGGACCAGTCCCACTGGCGATCAACTGTCGTTCCTGGGAATCCGTCGATAAATCCGTCGATTTGGCCGGGGGCCGGGGKGGGGGGGGGGGGGGGAGGGAGGAGACAGGGGCGCAGTGGCTTTCGGCCTTCTGGCTGTCTGCGCTTCTTTTCGCAAAAAATTGCATGCGCCAACATCAATGATTGTGTGCACTTGTACTTTTGGGGGAACAAACCTGAGAAACAAACGCCCATCGGTTTGGTCCTGAACTTTCAAAGACAAACAATCAAAAAGTTGAAATAAGGATTGGAAGACATCGTCGCAACTAAGGACCGAGCTCAAACTTTGTCACAAAGTCAAAAAAAACCTGGAATTGCTGATCTTTGCCATTCCCTTAGATAGGAGAGGCATCTTACGCAAAGGGCCACGCCTGGTGAACGGTGACTGGGTAGCTGCCCCAGGGTACACGGAAAGTGTAGGTAATGTGGTGGAGGTACGCACAGACGAAACGTGGGTAGACCTTTTCCACAAAGGAAAGGATAATGCACTTTCCAGGTATTCCCCAGAGGTGTTAAGATGGTGGAACGAGGACCTGCACAGGATCACATGTGGTTAACCAGGGGTGTTATTTTCGACGAATTTCGCACCGAAACTGTCACATTTTGCTGATTTTTTGCTTTTTCCTTGTTTTTCTTTTTGTGTGAGATGTATGTGCTTTAGAATACGTCATGTGTCTAGTTTTGACATGTTCGAATCAATAATGAAAAAAATTGGCATTTCGCTGTATTCGTTGGACGCTTCATTTTAACTCGGACAGTGTTTTTGTGCTAGGGTTTCACAAGATCCGTGTGTTGCGGGATAAGCCATATGGATTGCATTTCAATCAGAGAGTCCCCTGGCAGAGCTCCCCTTCGATCCTAAGGAGTGGCAGTGGATCCCTGCATGAAGGTCTCCGTCGCTTGCGAAGGCAACGTTGTAAAGTTTGACTGTGAAGGCTGCATACCGACTATTGCGCCCAAAGGTGACCCTCGAAGAAATAGTGAAGGCCCGGTGGAAATCTCACTTGAATGTAGGAACTGAAGCCATCCGGCCCATCTGCTTGACCAGGTTCACCATCACAAGGTCCAGGTCGGCAAAGTTGACCTCCCTGCAGTGGCAGATAGAGCACCGCTGCTTGCCCACAAACGATTGGTTGATACTACTTATAGCCGCACACATTTAGAACAGAAGGAGCTGGTGCTGCCTTGGACCTTGGTGCAAATCGTGCCACACCGCCTTTCCCTCCCGTAAAAAAAAAAAAAAAAAAAAAAAAAAAAAAAAGATTCCGGAAACTACATCTGTTGCATGGCTGGGTGCTGCTAGGAAGCTTCCCGACCAACAGAAGTATCCATGGGGAGGCTATGGTATGGGAACTTTGGGAAGTGGGTTTGGTTGTAGCAGTTCCCCCCTTGATAGGCGCCTAGGGCCGCAAGGGTAAGGCTTTCCTCTTCTCTTACAATCAAACTGTACTTTGGTTTTCAGGCTTGCCGGTGATAAGCAACCGGACTGATGCCCCCCAGAATGGAAGGGGCAGTTTTGTTTTGTTAAAAAAAAAGAACACATATTCATGCAATGCCCAGGGGCAGTCCTTACACGACGGCGATGATAGGATAGGCTGTGGAGCCTCCTGGGTACTGAGGTGAGGCCGTCTGGCCATGGGATTGGAGGGCCATACCATGCGAGGCGTGGACCTCCCCCACAGGCAGCGACTTTGAAAGGAATATGTTTAAGATTGGGAAAAGAGCCATCACCCTCTGGAGAAGACACTGTATACATGCCATCGAGGGGATCCGCATAGCAGGGGAGGACACGACGGACATGATAAAAGAATATACACAGCAAGAACGGCAAACAGTTAACAAACAACTGGAGTCGTTTCATTCATCAAACGACATAACACAAGCAATTCATCAACAAACGATATAACACAAGCAATTCATCAATTCTAAGAGGATTGGCTGGGCAGTGAGAACTAAGGCCGGATCGCCTTTATTATCTGGAAAGGCAGACCAACCCAGGAGTGCAACCAGGAGGAGCTCAGGAGGGATTACTGTATATTTGCTTCAGAGATTGGACTGCAGTAGGTCAGTAGGTCAGGAGATCCCGCTGCGGCGGCTGCGCCCTCCTTCAGAGTTTCTTGACCCCTTCCCGCCCCACCAGCTGGCTATGGTCGACCTGCAATGGCTTTTTTTTTTTTTTTTTTTTTTTTTTTTTTTTTTTTTTTGCAATGGTACGGTGCAGATTAGATAGAAGTTCATAGAACAACTGGTCGAAGTTTCGCATTCCGCCTTATCCCTGGCCAGTGTACCCCGGCAATAGAGCAGTCAATGCTGGACAGTACCGATTGGTTCATCTGCTATAACACTTCTTCTGTGCACGAAATGAATGACATCTTAACAGGAATTTCATCTGGCTGCAGCCGTAGGAGGGTTGGGGACTTGGTAGCAGCGCTGTTCTGGTGGCCAGCAGTAGGGCTGGAGAGGCCCCTTCCCCTCCTTGTTCCTTTGTCATCTTCCTGCTCAGTTAATCCCCTGCTTCCAGGGTAATCAATGCTGGCGAGCTTCGTCCGTTGTGAAATCATTGAGGTTCTGTGGGCCGCTGGACCCGGTTTCCAGCAGGTGCTGCTCCCCACCAATAGATCGGAGCCATTGGTGGAGCTGATAGGAGTGTACGCTCATACCATCACTCCTATCTGCTGCTGCTGGTGATTCTCTCTCTCTCAAAAAAAAAAAAAAAGATGACAAAAATAATTATTGCAGCAAACTTCCGCAGTTCTTTGCACATTCTTTTTTTTCTTTTTGTTTAACACTCCCAGCCCCTTCTATTCTGGGGGCCGTCACTCCTGTTGCTTATAACCGGCAAGCAAAGTTTTTGAAACAAGCAGCGGGGGGATTCAATAGAGAAGAGAGTCAGCCTGCCTTTGTGGCTCGAGCCGCCTGTTCAAAGGGGGGTTGCTTCAGAGCCACCCGCTCCCCTCCTTTGGCCTTTCCTTGTGGATTGTCCTGCCTGCAAGTCGGGAGGCTTACTACAGTCTTCCCCCGAATACAACGTACGGTCATTATAGCTGAATTTGGTCTATCTTTCCGTCTAAATTCAGTTATAATGACCGTACGTTGTATTCGGGAGGCTTACCAGCAGCACCCAGGCACGCTACAGGATAATCCCCCCTCTGGCTGCATGTTACATACTCACCCCATTCCCACCATGTCTACCAGGGCCCCGCATTCCCTCTACCTGCTACCCCCACATCATCTGCATCCCTGAGTCCTGTCTTTACTGTCCCACCCCTCCTGCCATCCGGTTTTCCTAACTGGGCTCCTATCTCCCTACTCCTAATTCTTTGCACATATCTTTTTCTGAGTCTTCTGACTCTTCTCCACTTTTTCTTTTTTTTTTAATAATATTTTTTTAATATTTTTTTAATATATATATTATATAATGTTTTTAGTGTTCGTTGAGCCGAGAGAAGGTTAGCATCTCCCTCGATAAGGACGGGAATAGTCTTAAGGACTATATGAACACATACGGTTTAGGCTACCCACTCTCGGGTGGACAAAAAAAAATAAAAAATAAAAATAATAATAATATAATAATAATAATAATATTATTATTATTTTTAATAATATGTTCTTACTGCTGTGCATGTTCTTTTTCTCAACTTTTTCATTCAGGCTGTGCTATCAGTAGGCGCAGGAATTTTCCTCTTCTGCCTGTACAAGTTGTCCCAACTCCTCTTCCATCAGGGGTGAGGCGAATCTGGACGTGTTTTGATACAGAGTTGCACATCCATCGCAATTTTCTGCACCTCTCCACAAACACGTCCACATTCAGGCGTCAAATCCCAGTCCTTTTCACTATCCGGACATTGCCACAGCTGGACCACGGGTTTCGGGAGAGCTCAAAATTTGAAGCTCTACTTTTGTAATGAAAAAAGTAGTCCTCGTTTCCTCACGCAAACAAGGGTTATAAATTAAAATGGTTATTTTCTCCTTGTAGCCAATTAGGTTATATCAACTTATATGGTATTTGCTTGTGGCATCTCCAATTATTCTGTGAGTGTATTTCATCTGATGAACCATGCTCTTTTTAGTTGAAGTGGATGAAAACAATAATCTGTTTTCGTTCTTTTCTTCGTTTTTTTCTTTGTTGGAATTACATCTGTGCAACATGAAAGAAAGTTTAGGTCCCCCCACCCCCCCCCCCCCCCCCCAAAAAAAAAAAAAAAAAAGATAGTTTAAAAAACCAGACACACACACCCACAGACAAAAAAAAAAAGCAGACACACAGAAAGCGAGATAAGGAGCATTTTTACCAGGAATCATAATGGACTAAATGGAGCAATGACACTGACCCTTTAAATAAATTAAAAAAGAAAAAAAAAAAAAAAAAAAAGAGAGAGAAAAGAGCAGCCCATGGGGCTGCGTGGTACACCGATGAACTGCTGACAAATAAAAGCTCACTCCAATCCAATAGCTAGTAGCTACATGTCACTCATCGCACTCCAGCCAAAAACTTGTAAAGTAATATAAATAAATCCATGAACTGCTGACAAAAATAAAAGATCACTCCCATAACTACATGTCACTGTAGCAAAACTAACTAAGTTGAACTAACTTATGAAGTTGAAAAAAAGAGTCGAACGACTCCACACATTTCTGTCAGACGGCAGAAAAGCGAACGCAATCATATGAAGTGAGTCAGCTTTTTCGAAAGTTGTTTTTAGAACGAACTACTGAAAAACTCTGACACCACACTTCGTCCCGGCACACGGAAAATAGCAAAAGCTGAAGGCGTTCCCAAAATTTCTTGGTAGAGGCAACTTCGTTGCACTTAAGAGGACGAAGCCTGACTGACCTCCCAATCCATCCACAAAGCATAGCGACGCAATAACTCAAATGACAACCGAGGCCAATTCCACGAAAGGGTACACACCCATGAACTGCTGACAAAATAAAAGACCACTCCGACAACTACACGACACTCGAGCCAAACAAGTTATATATAAAAAAAAAGTTTAAAAAGAAGCAAAAGAAGTCGAACAACTTCACATTTCTGTCAGACGGCAGAAAAGAGAACGCAATCATGAAGTCAGTCAGCTTTTTATAAAGTTGTTTTTACAACGAAGAGGACGAGGCCTGTCTTACCTCCCAATCCATCCACAAAGCATAGTGACTCGATGACTCAAATACCAACCAAGGCCAATTCCAAGGAAGAGGGAAAGTTTTGTAGTCCTACATGGACTTCGATGATGGAGAGCAGCAACGTCGGCCGGCCAGGGGCCAAAGGGCGGGGAAGAGCGAGGGAGGAGGGGGGGAAAGAAAGGCCCAGAGGGGGGCGGGACAAGGGGCGGAAGAGAGGAGGAGGTCACCTCCCTCTGGCATCATCAGTGCTACTCAGCACCACCTCCTCCTCAGCAGCCTGTTTTCAGCCATGTTGCTTTGGCTGGTTCTCCTGCCAGTGCTGCTGATGAGAAGCACTATATATCCTCCCTACTTCTCCTCTTCCTCCCATAGAGACAAAAGAAGGAGCCATCAGGCGGAACAACCCTTCTGGGTTGTCGGTATGAACCCAGTGCCCTGCATCTTCCAGTACATGTAAGTTCACCCCGCCGGCCACACCTCGTTTGCGGGCTGCTCTTTCCCCTGCGTTGATCCGGTCTACGTCCTCCTTCCCCCACCTGTGCAGACTTCTCTCCGCTCGCACAAAGTCTATCTGAACTCCCTCTGGAACATTATCAACCAATGGCCATAGATTTTCCCTCTGATAAGACAAGTACATCCTCGCGATCCCTTCCAGATCGAACACCCAAGATAACCCCGCCTCCACTTCGGGGAGCCGATCCATGGTGCCAACAGCTGAAGGCGACAGAGAAGACGGCGACGGCAAGGAAGAAGATGAAGGAGAGGACTGAAAGGGAGAGTAAGAGGAGGCGCCGCAGGCCGAGGATGTGGAAGATAAGCTCGTAGAGAAGCCTGGAAGCTTAATTGGACGCAAATTAGTCGTCATCCACTGAGCGACGCTCCTTGAGAAGCCTTTCCTGATGAGAGTGTTGACAACAAAACCTCTGGACGGCACTACCTGTGGCATTTCGCGGAGAGCGTTGATGATGTCCGCAGGGGCATCCTCACCATCCAGACCGGAGCGGACTTTGCCGGGGGTGGAGTCCAGGACCCAGACGCGGACCGGTCGTGCCAAGGGCTTCGCAGCTTGATCGATCATGCTGAGAGCGACTTTCCCGCCAAAACTGTGTCCAACGAGCATCCGCGGAGTGATGCGCAAGTCCGCGACCAGGCGCAAGACGTCCGCCGCCGCACTTGCCACCGACGGATCGTCGTGCTTCGGCAGCTTCGTGGAGTCTCCATGGCACCGCAGATCCACCACCAAAAACTGCCAGCTGGGGAACTCCTGCGCCAGCCGCCGCGCGAACGATGCCCAATTGCGCCGACCTCCCAGGATACCGTGCAGGAGAACTGCGGTAGGTGGCGCTGGCGAACGGCGGTCGTGCACCACTGACCACCGGACAAGTGGTCCTTGGATCAATTCATACGCAAGGGGAGCCTCCAATGTCATCCCTGACTGCACGACAGTTGGCAGTCCCATCGGGAGCCGTGCCCGGGGCGCTTCCCCCACTACCCCTGCAGTCATCATTGATGTTGACGACAACGGTTCCACCACCAGCGACGCGGAGCGTGCCGAAGATGCCCCACCGGCTGCCCCCGATGCTTCACAAACAACACTTGAAGGCGAGGAAGAAGCAGAAGAGCCAGAGGCATACAAATAGAACGGGGACAGCGGAGAATACCAAGGGGAGGAGGAACACGGCGAGAGAAGATGGGAGAGAGGAGAAGAATGGGAGAGGAGGCATGGTGATGACACAAGAGTCGACCACAGGGAGTGGCTGCCAAGGAAGCTACTGCGCAAAACACGTTTTGCGCACGGCTGCGCGAGTCCCGTAGCCATGGCGCCGGAAGTCTCTCCACAGCTGTTGCGGGCTCCACAAGCGCGCAGGTTACACCCCGCCCAGCCTCCTCCAGCTCCGCTGCCCTCTGCCCTCGTGCAACGTCCCGACAACTGCACACCAATCGTCCCCCTCCGCGTGCCCACTCCACGCGACGGAAGAAGAGCCACGGCTTTCACAGCACACACATCTCCGATGCGACATCCACTACAGGCAATCGATGGCCAGGCTTGCAGAACAACGGCACCAGCTTCCGCAGCTGCCCACCCCGCCACCCCCTTGAAGTCAGAAGCGGCCCCGCCAGCTCCTGTGCTTGTCCATCTCCGTAGAAATGGGAAGGAGGATGTGCTAAGCGCCACGTGGCGGACAGTCAACATTCCATACGTGGATTCCCAGAGCGCCATTGTCCGGTGCTACGCCAAGTGGCTGACACACGTGATCTTCCCGCCTTCTCTCCACGCTGCCGACGTCGCGCCCCGCCGCATGGCGCGACACCGGCCAAATGGGGGCCCCTCAGCACGACCGAACTGGAGTACCCTCTCCGCCCTGCTGAGGATGGGTATGATATATCACCCCCTCTGCCAGCTAGACTGACGGTACTCGCAGACACCTCGCGCTGCCAGCCGTGGACGTGACAACCAAGAAGCTCAGATGAGAATAGCGACGGTGACGACTAATCGCCCATCAGACGAGAACGTGGAAATGTCCATTTGGCCGCTGAACAGACACAGCAGAGGGAACGCCACGCATCACCACTTCAGCTCGTTGCTCCGCTTGAGGAGCTGAGCGACAATCCTGCATCAACGACTGCGTGATGCCGCACTGGGTGCAAGCGTGGCATGCCCCTGCAGACAAGTTCGTCACATCACAAACAGAAGACATCCAGCATAGACATACAAATTATTTGCACTTCCTATTAGAATTAAGGTAGATACCTCACACACAGGATACCTCACAAACAAAAAACAGGCAAAATGCTGCCAAAAAAAATACTTCTTTTTTTTCAAACTAAAAACTATATTCTTCTCTTCAGTATGCCTCACACGACCTACCTATATGACTAATCACAAGAAAACAAAGAAGACCATGCACACGATGAAGGGCCAACCGACCTAGGCACTAATCCCCAGCGAGGAATGCCAGGGGCAAAGCCATCTGGGAGAACCCAGGACCCTACCAAGACACACACACACACACACACACACACACACACACAGACACACACACACACACACACACACACACACACACACACTTGAGCGCGATGCGCAGACACGTCTCCCTCTCTAACGCGGGCGCCTCTCTCTCGCTCTCTGTGTTGAAGGGCGCATGTGTGTCTTGTCATATTCGCTATACACTCAAAAAAAGCACGACTGTACCAGACTGTTTCGTTGGACTTTCACCGACTCATTGGGAGGTTGAACCCCGACAGTCTGCCCAGGATGCATTTGACTGATGGATAAGGACTCACCACATTGCCCAGAGTTACCGACACCCCCCTGAGAGAGAAAAGTGGTCGACTTTACTCACACCAACCTTGAAATCCTAGCAGACTGTCTGTCAGTCCAAACCCCTGACAAGAACGGTAGTAAGTCTGAGAAACGGATCTGACACAGTCATAAAACCCACTCTACAAACCCACTCAGCCATGGACACCCAATGTGTGTGTGTGTGTGTGTGTGTGTGTGTGTGTGTGTGTGTGTGTGTGTGTGTGTGTGTGTGAGACAGAGAGAGAGAGGGAGAGAGAGAGCAGACTGTCTGTCAGTCCAAATCCCTGACAAGAACGGTAGTAAGTCTGAGAAACGGATCTGACACAGTCATAAAACCCACTCTACACACCCACTCAGCCATGGACACCCAATGTGTGTGTGTGTGTGTGTGTGTGTGTGTGTGTGTGTGTGTGTGTGTGTGTGTGTGTGTGTG